GCGAAAGATACTATGACTCAAAATGAGGTTTTGATTTTTTTTAAAAACGAAGACCAGATATATTACTGATTTGAGGAGAAATGTAGGAGAGTGCTGCTACATCGATTGATCTATACCTGTCCTAACCCAAACCCTCAGCCGATGTAGCAGCATTCCCTTGCATGTTATCCCTAAATTAGTCAATGTAGAAGCACTCTCCTACATTTATCCCCAATTCAGTAATATATCTGGTCTTCGTTTTTAAAAAAATCAAAACCTCATTTTGAGTCATAGTATCTTTCGCTTTACCTTGATTTTCTCATATTTTATAAGCGTTGATTGCGCATGCTCAGAATAAAGTTCCAAAAAGTATCAATTTGAAACTGCCGTGCAATAAACTAGATTTTTGATTTTAATCAAACGTATGTCAAAAACGTGTTTAAAAAAAAACCGGTATAACTGTTTTTTTTAATAAAACATTATTTCAAAAAAAAATAAATATTTTCTTCAATTAGTCCAACAAAAAAAATAAAAATGAAGTCAATTTACTCCGTAATGACAAAATTGAGTTAAGCCCTACGATGATAGAGTTTTGTCATTTATAATACATAGAAATTATTACAATTTTTAATTTTATAAACCGCCTTTTTTTAGATTTTTTTACAAGTTGCTGAATGGGCGTTAATTGTTTGTTTTTGTCTTGTTAGGTATTTTTGTTTGTTTAAAGAGTACAATTTGTTTCTTCAGGGTTAGAGGCAAACATTTAATTTAATTCTTTATTAAAAAGTGTTAAACTTTGATATTAAATTGGGAATTATGGGTTGTTAGATTATTTTTTTATTTTTTCAAAGTTTTGAGGTTTACAATTAAACTTTTTTACTTTTTAGCTTTTTTATTTTTAAATATGCAATTTATTATTTATCAAGTTAAACAAACAAATAAACAAATCATCAATCTTTAAATCAATTAAAACAACAATTGGAAAAAATATAATGAGTTAAGCAACTGATATATTACATTTATTGTTTAAAATTTTAGGGCTGGAAATGAATTGTTCTTTAACATCAAAAGTTAACATCACAATAAAAACTACATTTAATTCTTCATTAAAAATTTTAAAATTTGATATTGAATTGTGAATTATGGTTGGACAGGTTCTTTAAAAAACGTTATATGCATATTTAAGTTGCAATGATTGCAAAAATGCAAGAAACTGGAGAAATTTTTACATGATTCTAAAGTAAAAGACCTTTTAGTATGCTATAAAATTATATTTATAAATGTAATTTTATTACTATATAAATAATGTATATATATATATATATATATATATATATATATATATATATATATATATATATATATATATATATACATATATATATATATATATATATATATATATATATATATATATACATATATATATATATATATATATATATATATATACATATATATATATATATATATATATATATATATATATATATATATATATATATATATATATATATATATATATATATATATATATATATATATATATACATATATATATATATATATATATATATATATGTATATATATATATGTATATATACATATATATATATATATATACATATATATATATATATATATATATATATATATATAAATATATATATATATATATATATATATATATATATATATATATATATATATATATATATATATATGTATATATTTACAAATATATATATATATATATATATATATATATATATACTAATTAGTAATATATATATATATATATATATATATATATATATATATATATATATATATATATATATATATATATATATATATATATATACATACATATTTCTAACTTTAGCTTCTACTGTCAGTTTCTCCTTCAGGTTAATTAGAAAGCTTCCTTACAAACTGACAGGGGAAGCTCAAGTTAAATTTGTTTTTTTTTACTAATTTGTAAATATATACATATATATATATATATATATATATATATATATTTACCATGTATATATATATATATATATATATATATATATATATATATATATATATATTTACCATGTATATATATATATATATATATATATATATATATATATATATATATATATATATATATATATATATATATGTATATATATATATATATATATATTTATATATATATAAATATATATATATATATATATATATATATATATATATATATATATATATATATATATATATATATATATATATATATATATATATATATATATATATATATATATGTGGTAAAATATTGTGATTGTGGAAGCCTTGGAATAAAAATGCCCTAACACGTTTGCGTCCTGTCTAAACGTCAAGGTACTAATGTAGGAATATTTTATAATCTATTAACTTGTATTAAACTTAATTTATAATTTAAAATGGATTTTGTAACATGCTTTATTTACAGTTGTTTTTTTTAGGAATTTGATATGCAGTTTTTGTTTTATTTTATTAAATCATTAGTAATCCAAGTGAATTTTACATTTGTAAACTTGATATTTATTTAGTATCAAATTAGTACCATCTCAAAAGTTAATATGTTTTCGACGAAAAAAAGTCAATTGCTTTTTATATGATTACCCAGTGGGCATGCGTTGTCTGGGGGACGTCTTGCAGACGTCAGGACGTACGTGATACATCTAATAAACGATTCCCTGACAACGCGTTTCCACTGGGTATATGTTATTTTTATTGGAAAGATGTTAACTAAAAATCTGATTTACAGTATGGGACAAAAAAAAATTTAATTTTTTTTTTTTTTGCGTTTTTTTTTTATAAAATGGCGCTTTTTATTCGATTAATGAATTCAAATCGATGATTTGGAATTAGTTAATAGCAAATTCAAATTTCTTTTAACCTTGAAAAAATAACATAGAAACATAATCTATTTACATGTTTTTGTCACAAATAAAAATATAAATACAAGTTTCTAAAACAGTAAATTAATACTTGGTCATATATCCTTTACTTTTAATAACTGCCGCACATCTTCAAGGCATACAATCAACTAAACGTGTTAAAAGTTCTGGTTCAAGAGTTTTCCACCCTTCTTTTAAAAGAACCATCAAATCATCAAGGATGTTACATCTACGAAACTTTAAATGTTGGTCAAAAATGCTCCAAAAATTCTCAATAGGGTTTAGATCAGGACTCTGTGATGGCCAATCGAATGTTTCCCATTTCTGGTTGATGACATAAGTTTTATTAATTATTGCAGTATTTTTAGGATCATTATCTAGCTGAAATATAAAATCACCCCGGGAAAATTATTTGTATCAATTCAAGCCAAGTGCGAAAAAAGGTTTTTTGTACTTGGCTTGTATTGATACTAAAGGATCTTGTGATATTACTTCTGCTCCATAATATCTTGTACTCGATATAAATTACCTACACTGTGAGAAGCAAAGCAACCTCAAACCATTAATTTGGCATCGTGCGTGACAGTTCCAATGGTATACTCCTTTAAATAATGATCATTGTGCCTGCGCCATACACGTCTTTTCCCCACAAATCGTAAAACATATGGTGACTCATATGTTTTACGACTGTAGCACCGGTTTGTCACAACATAAATTGATTCTAATATATTAGGAATAATTTATATCTTGAACTATTAAATTTTGTGATAAACGTCATCACACCAAGTTTGGTGTGATGACGTTTATCACTTTTTTCTCAAAACTCTTCAGGACGGTCCTGGGCTCTACCCAACTAGCTTTTGCAAAAAGAAGTTTTTGGTTTTTTTTTGCTCTTTTGTTACAATTTTTATTTAGGAATATTTTTTCATTTCATAGTTTAATTATAATTTTTTATAACGCTATTTTTGTCATTGTCATTTGAATATTTGCTAACAATTGTTCTTCGCGTTTTTGTTCTTCATTTTGTTCTTCATTTTGTTCTTCAACTTTTTAAAAAAATTCGAATTTTTGAAAATATTTTCTTTCATCTGATATTTGTAGAATATGAAATAAAAATCGGTCAAAAATGAAAAAATTATAAACCGGTTGAAAAAAAAAAGAGATATAATCAGTTGGAAACAATTTGAGCCTCAGTATCTGAAAATTATTTCCACTTTTTGGAAAATGTTTTTTTTGTAGATCAAATTAGTTTCTAGTTTTTGTAAATCTAACAATGTGGCATGCTAAGTTAGCCTGTCTAACTGTCTTACATGCTAGGTTGGCCGATCTAACTATGTAGCAAGTTTTTTTTTTAACAGTATGGTTTAGTAAACTTTCCAAATGATTTAATTTAATCAATTAAATCGGTTAGTTTAAGAAAAAAACTTTTGAGTTTAAGCACAGCATATAGTCGCAATATACATGATTCAAAGGCATTTATAAAAAAACCATCTATTTACTTAGAAATCTTTTTCAAAGATGCGCAAAATAAAACCTTTTTACACTTTCATTTAGCATAACTAAGTTTTTCGATTTCATATATACAAAAGCAGCTTCTGAGCCAACAAAGCATAATGTTTGAATAATACTTGTTCGTTTTACATATACTTTGTATTTACCTGTATCTTTATGTGAAATAGAAATGCTAAATTATTTAATGTTGTTCAAAAACAATAACAATGTTACAAATAAATACCTATATTAAATTATAATATAAACAATATCATCAAAGAAAAGAATAACAAAACATTAATAAATCCCGCTCTTATTAATTTTATTTTTTAATAAAAAAACAAAGTTCATTTATTACTTTTTTTTATTTTTATTTTATAAATATATATACACCTCTAGCCCAAAAACATTTTTAGATACATAGTAAGTAGATATACTAAGTAGATATACTTATCTTTCAACAGTCCAAAAAATTTTCAGTTTTTTCTTAAGTTTTTTCAGACAGTTTCAAAAACAATCATTAGAAAGTACAAAAATAATAAAATATCTTTTTGTATAACAAACTCAATTTACAGATAAATGAAAAGTGTCTGTGCTTTGTTATTTGTTTGCAGAAATAGAGTTCTTTATAGATGTTTGCATTTTATTACTGTGAACAAAACAACCCTGTATTAAAAAAAAAGGTGTTTTTCGATTTTTGATGACTCAACGTTTTTTTGTCAACATTAGATGCAAGCGTTTTAGGTATATTTTTTTAACCAAGAAAGCTAATGCATAGTTTAAAACTTATCAACATGTTGAATTATGTTATTAGAATGGTTATTTATGTATTATTATTGCTTATGTTACTTAAATTTGCTTATTATTATTATTATTATTGTTATTATATATATATATATATATATATATATATATATATATATATATATATATATATATATATATATATATTTATATATATATATATATATATATATATATATATATATATATATATATATATATATATATATATATATATATATATACATATATATATATATACATATATATATATATATATATATATATATATATATATATATATATATATATATATATATATATATATATATATATATATATATATATATATATATATATATATATATATATGTATATAACTTTAAGAGTATTTTGCAAAATTAAAAGTATTATTTATGCTTGCATCTTAAATTTTTGCCTTATATATACAAAAATGTATTTGTATATCTTTTTTAAAAAGTTATACAGGTTTTCGATATTCTATTGAACTTCGTCTACACTTAATCAGTTTCAATTATCTTGGCGAATTGTTGTAATTGAATTAATTTGTTGAAACTTTAAATTTTTTTAGAAACAGTTTATTTAGATTTTAGATAAACTTGGATTAGCTGGAGTATGGTTAATAATATATTTATATAAGGAAAATAGGCGCTGGTAAATATTTGTTTCAAATTTGTCATTTTTATAATTTTTTTATCTTATAAAACCTTTCAAAAAATAATTATTCTTAATTAGGCTTAACTCTAAAGACATTTTTTTTTTAAATTACAAATGAATTTAATTGTTAAAAATAACTGACACCTAAAACCATTTTACAAAAATAGCTTAAATCCTAAAGACAAAGAAGCATCACGCGAGAAGAGTGAAATGAAGAAATATAATACAATCATCACAGGGTTAGCCAATAAACAAATTTAAAAAAACAATAGTTTTTTGTAAAATAAAGTTCTTTAATTTGAGCTAATATGTTGTATAATAATGTTTTGCATTATTTTTAACGTTATGTTTAACATAATTTTAAATTTTGAGGCTTTAAAAAAAGATATATAAAAAGTAGATCTTTATTTTTAAATATGTGAATAAAAAATTCAAAACTAAAATGCTTTATGAGAGGGTGCAATTTATTTGATGAGGACGCGATTCAACAATGCAATTTATTTTGTTAAGGGCGCAGTTCTATACTTAACTCTTTCTCTTAATCATGTTATAAAATATTTAAAATTATAATAAATTTTCTGTTTGTTGATAATAATTTATTTTTAATATATAATTTAGTTTGATAAACTGTAGAGTATGCTAGACAAAAGTAAACAAAAAACAAAAAACAAAATATGAAACGGTTTAGCAATTTTGTTTTTTTTGCATTTATAGAAAAGCTAAAACAAATAATCTTTTAAAAAGGTGTGTCCTCGTATTGTAAAGGATATTTTGCTAATTAGAGTTTCTTTTATTTTTGTATAAGTCTGAATAATTTTTTTTTCTCGATAAAAATTAATTAAAAAATATTGAAACTAAAAATTAATATTACTAGCAAAAAAAAATGCAATTTTTTAGAAAATATTTAACTGTTAAAAAACTTATTTGTCAATCAATATTCTCTTTCAAAATCAAGATACTTTTTCGAAATTTGAAACTTTTAGTTCCAAAACAGTTGAGCCAAAAATAGTCATATTACAATTAGCACGGCTAAACTAACCAATTAATAGCTTGTTAAAACGGAAATAAATATAAAATATTATATCTAATATTATTGATAATAATAATCCAATAATAGTAACAATAATAATAATAATAATCTAATATTAATAAGTATGATAGCCTTTGCAATTTTTCTAAAAGATTTTAAAAGAAAAATGACTCGTACTTCTGTAAAACACAAAAAACACTGAAGAACAATTGCAACATACATTAGAAAAAATAAAAAAAATCACCCAGTCAAAGATATAGAACATACCAAAACTCTTAACAAATATCTTCACAACCTCGCTAAGTACTGAGTTTGAATTTTATTTTGTATTTTGAGTTTTATTTTTATTTTGGGTTGCAACAGTTGGAGGTTGTTAGGTTTTTACCAAACAAACCGAACGGTTTACCAATACAAGAGTGCTACCGAGGTTCGACAAATAATGAATTAATAGGATGCCAGATAATTAGGCAACTTTATATCTCTTAGGGCTTCTACTTGTGTTGAAGGCAAAATAAAAAATTTTCTAAAATACACTTTAAAAAACTATTTCTTAAATATTACACCAAAAATAAAAATTTGTTTAAAAATATTTTCAGGCAAATAGCAAAAAGTTCTGCCTCCACCATTGGTAATTTACAAAACCTATATGTCGTCTTTGTAAAAATTGATGTTTTATGGGGCCACCAAACATTAAACTGATTTATTTATCTACAACTAGTAGTTGGATTGGATTGAAGAAAAACAATTTACTCAATGGCTAACTAAAATAATCATAACCAGCAACTATTTTGATTCCTGTTAAATTTTTTGGTTTAAAATTTATTTTTCTATTAAAGGTATTCATATTTTAGTTTTAGACAAACAATTTACGCATAATCAGGCCCGGCGCGAGTGTTACTTGGGAGTGGGGAAGGGGGGTCGCTATTACAATTTTTGCCACCTTAAAAAAAAAAAAGGTCCTCGTTTTTTAAAATTTGCCGACTGACTGTCTAAATTTGCCGACTGACTTGTCTAAAGGGTCTTCAATTGCTGACTGATTTGTCTAACCAAATGCAACAAAGTTATAAATAAACAATAAAAATCATTGGTAGGGTGTGTCGGACTTCCCCACGCCATCCCATTGCGCCGGCCTTACTTATGATAGTTACGATATTACTCTTACTTGCATCAGTATACTTGATTACTCGCTCATTTTTCCCAATTACTTCAAGCGTTCAAAGTAAATGTATATTGTCACTTTAAACAAGTTTAGTGCAAACTACTTACAGAAAGTTATACAGGTACAAGTTTTAACAGTTAAAAAAAAAAGTTTAAGTAAAAGCAAATTTTTAGCTTCAGCGAAAATATATAATTGCTGCGTTTTACAACGCTGGTTTATTTCCACTTGATACAAGTAAAGCTATCCAATCAAAATTACAATTTGCATAATCAAACATTTCAAGAACCATCTCAGTCTGCTTCATTATCCTCATTGCATCTATTTTGGCGCACATACGCATAAATCAACTCAACACTCTGAGAGTTAAAGGTCAGTGTTTAAGTAAACCTAAGTTTCTAGAGAAACTGATAGAAGGAATACAATAATAAGATCAAAAATTGAAACTAATTAAAGAAAAGCAAGATTAAAAAACTAAAACTCTGCAAGTGTAACATAAAAAAAAAAAATGAACCCGTTGAAAAGTGCAGAAAATGTTGCAAAGTTAGCCAAGAAACATTGCCAAAATTACAAGCAACAGTTGCAACTCTTTTACTTTTACCAGTTTTGTTTCAGGGTCATCACTTATATTAGTCTTATAAAAGTCAAAGTTTTAAGTATTAAATATAAGTAATAATGTGCTCTTTTAATGTCTCTTAATGTGTGCTCCAATTTAATGAACTACGCGTTCATTAAATAACAAGAGAATTCTTTTTGAGAACACTTGATAATGTTTGCAATAAGTTTGTTGACGACTGCGCATGAAGCACTTAAGATTTATTTAGAAACGATTTAATCAACAAACTTTCCTCCATTGAACCTTTGAACCTTTCATCCATTTCATTGTATATCCATTTCAAGTATTGTTCTCTTTTATCGAAAATATTATTTTGGTATTTTTGATCATAAATTTGTTATACAATGTTTCGTTTTTAATATTTGCGTATTTTCTATTATGATTTGCTTTTATGACTTTTTTTTAGGGATAAAGGCAATCTGGCTCTACCCAAACAATAAAAAAATTGTTAGATAGTAAGGTAGTCCATAGGAAATAAGGTCCTCCTTCATCTTATATTATAATTAGGTAACGTAGTAGCTACTAATTAGTACCTACTATCTTTATCAGTAAGTAGTTGTAATATACTGCAGTTGTAGATATATAAAACAATTCTACAAATATGCTTACGATAGACTTCCGGTCATCCTACTTTAAGAATCATTAAAATTACTTTGTGGTATTAAAGTTACCGTTTGTCTCTTTCCTATTGTATTAAATTAAACCTAAATTTTCAAAGTTACAATTGATATCAAAGTAACTCCGTTTGAAAGTACAACAGACTATCGGAAGTACTAAGTTATAAATCACTTGCTCTGGCGTATGTTATGTAACCAAAAATCTAAAAAAATAAAACTCGTAGTTTTCATTTGCATTAATAGAAAGCTATTAATCAAAAACAAAATATCTTTAAAAAGGTCTACTTTTTTTGTTCTTTTGTAATTGAATATATATATATATATATATATATATATATATATATATATATATATATATATATATATATATATATATATATATATATATATATATATACAGTATCAAAAACAAGTGCAACCAAATAATGCTAATTTAGTTTCTTTATATAAAAGTGCTGTATTTTTTCAATTTAGAGAAATAACTATGTAACTGTTTAGAGACAACGTTCTTCAAGTTTTATTCATCACAAAGTTCATTATTTGTACACAGAAATTAATAAATTAATCAAAAGTATTAAAAAGAGTTGATTTCTTTCTCGACAAAACAAGTGCAACTCCACAAAATGTTGACCAAGCTGTATTTTGCTATCAATATTTCGTAGCGAATCCTTTGTTGTCGATCACAGCCTTGCATCTTCGAGGCATAGATTCGATCAGGTGATCAATGAAACTTTGTGGAATTGCTGCTCAGGACTTTTGGATTTGTTTAAACAGTTGATCCTTATTACGAACATCTTCACGGTTAATTCTGCGGTTGACGATCTCCCACAGGTTCTCGATAGGGTTGAGATCCGGAGATTGAGGCGGCTAATTCATCACCGATAGGTGGTTGTCTTGAAACCACTGCTTGACTACTTTTGCAGAGTGTTTCGGATCGTTGTCTTGCTGAAAAACCCATTTTATTGGCACATTCCATTCAGCATGCGGTAACATAACATCTTTCAGGATATTTTAATACAAGAAACGGTCCATTATTCCATCAATTCGATGTATTGGACCAGACCGTTAGCAGAAAAACACCCTTAGACCATTACATTGCCTCAACCATGCTTCACAGTCTTATGGCAGTAACGTAAATCAAGGCGTTTTCCGGCCGGTCGACGTACACTGCAGATGCCATCGCTCCCAATGATGTTGAACTTCGATTAATCACTGAAAAGAACAGTTCGCCATTTCTGCACATTCCAGTCAATATGAAATGTAGCAAACAGGAGTCTTTTCTTCTGGTTCTTTAGTGAAATTAGCGGATTCTTTGCAGGGCGTAGAGAAAACAATCCAGCTTCAACAGCGCGTCGTCTGATTGTTCAGTCCGATACAGGCAGTTCTAATTGCTTTTGCATCTCGACTAATGGTATTCAGGGATCCTTCTTTCCATTTTTTCACGTGATATTTATCACAAATACTTTTTGTGACATTCCACTTACGTAATCGCCAATAATTTTCTTTCTTAGTTCCAACCCAAGACTGTCGGGAGCCATTTTTGCACATGAAGTCATAAAAATAATAAAAATAAATAATCACACTTCTCAAGGCTTACCGTGTTACATTCTGTATTACTTCTGCATGCTTCTGGAAACTTCTGGATACTTCCTCTAATTATTAAAAAACTTCCGTGACGTTGACACGGATCAGACTTAATAAAAAAAAACAAATCAAAAAAGTTGCACTCGTTTTATCCGCTGCAAAATGGTACTTGTCAACGAAATTCTTCCTGTGTGCTGTCAACTGTCAGCTGATTGCTCATGTCATGGCATGCTATGACTCCAGACTCCTGAACTGTTTGCTGTGGTAGTATAGTTCGTTTCGTTTTTAAGACATGTAAAATTTGGAACACTTTTTAGCATTGTTCTATGTTGGTTGCAAATGTTTTGTCCAATACTGTATATATATATATATATATATATATATATATATATATATATATATATATATATATATATATATATATATATATCATATATATATATATATATATATATATATATATATATATATATATATATATATATATATATATATATATATATATATATATATATATATCATATATATATATGATATAAGATTTCTGATGAGTCTTTATTGATGAAACACAGTGTTAAATGAGAAAAAATTTTGCTAAGTGATTTTCTACTAATTTATATATATATATATATATATATATATATATATATATATATATATATATATATATATATATATATATATATATATAATATATATATATATATATATATACTTGATTCTTTTTATAAACAGCATGCTGTAATAAATAAATAGTAAAATAAACAAAAAAATATTGAATCTTGGGTTACATACGAAACATACATTGCATATATAAATGTTATCGAACTAAAACTATCGATAAAAAGTAGCACAGTAAAAATAAACATCTGAAATTCAAAATACCTACCCACCTGCTTTTTTGCAAGCTACACATTGGAATTAACAAGATTGTTGTAATTTTTGGTCATTGAGTTGGCCTTGGCAAAAGACCCACTTTGTATTTTTCATCTATATTTTGACTGTACGTTCTGTGTAAGCAGTTGTCATATTTTGTTAAGAACGCTACTATTCGTTTCAATAAATCAGCATGTTTACTGATAAGAGCCATACAATTCTCTATAACGTCTCTATATAAAAGCGTTGGCTGATTTGGCTTGTAATTTTTTTTTTAACATTCCAGATCAAGCATGATGCTACATGTCACCTGTTGTTTTATATGTTTCCAAAGTATTTTTTACGCAATTCTTTGAAATTTTTAATCTTCTTTATATTTATTCGTTAGTGTTCATGTAGCCACCACTTGCCACTTTGCTACTTCGCCTACTGCTTTTCGACCTATTTATGTGTATATTTACTTTTAGATCTTATCAAAGTATATTTAAAAAGACTTTAAATGTGACTGATCATTATAAGCAATTTCATTTAATCAGTTGTTGGAAAATGTAATGTAATAGATAAAATAATATAGTAAATATGAATAATATTTAGGTTGAAAAGAAAGTAAAATGCAAATCAATTAAAAAGTTTGTGCGTCTTGTTTTGTTTTTTTTTTGCATTTCTTTTATAAGATTAAATAAAAAGGTAACATCAAGTAAATTAGTTAACGTATTAATTTTCCTGACCTCCTAAGGAAAAACTCAGTCTTCAGTAAATACGATTAGTAAATACTTTTTAGTGATGCTTGAAAAAAAAAAAAAAAAAAAAAAGAAGGATTTTGCTAAGCCTACTTTTTTGTAAAGCATTATCAAATAAGAAAATAAAATTTTTTGAAAACGATATTAACAGCAATACTATTTTAAAATCAATTTGTTTATAATCTTCTTAGAATCATGTTGATGTAGCGTCATGTTGATTTTTAACAATTTCGTCACATAATTCAAAATGTCTAAACCCAAATTCGAAATAATCTTATTGAATCAAGAGTTGCGCTATAAGTAATCTACTGTTGTCTTTCCTTTGGAAATACTGCGATAGGGATTTCAATCTTATCCTATTTAATAGAAATTAAGTTAACTGAATAAAGTTACTTACTCATGCATATAAAAATTATCTGTTAAACAGTGGCGTTACCTTGACAACATAATTCTTGTATTATACTTTAACATTTATAAATTATTTTTTGAGTTATAAATATAATATTGAAATGGATAAAGTAATCAATAAAATTAATAAAAACGTTACTCTTAAACAAACGAAGTTAGTTCACGCACAGAAAAGTACAATATTCAAATAGTTAGATTATCAAATTAATAATTTATAATATAACAAAATTTTTATTAGAATGACAAAAGATACTGAAACAAAAGAAAATGGGGTTGAATCTTCTGATAATCCTAGTGGACTTTTGTGGGATTCGTCGCAAGCTCAAGTTTCTCAGCATTGGAAAAAAATTTGGAAGTTTTTAAATTCAAAAAAAACAAGACAATCTCCGATTAATATTGATACAAAAAATGTGCAACATGACGAAAGCCTAAAACCTTTAAATTTAGATCGTCAAAATATTTTAGTTCATGTAACGAACATTGGATGGAATATTTCATTTAAAGCTGACAACGTTAATGCAATCTCTTTTACTGGAGGGGGGTTGGTTCACAACTATGCGTTTCGTGAAATGCATTTTCACTGGGGAGAAGTTCACAAAGGTAAATGCGAACTTGGTTGCGAGCATACTATTGACGGAAAAAGATACGCAGCAGAATTTCATGCAGTTCATTGGAATACCGATTTATACCAGACAGAAAATGAAGCTATCGCGAATCCTGATGGTTTAGCTGTAATCGGTATACTTATAGATGCAAATGAAAAGTACGAAGACAACAAAGAATTTGAAGTGTTTCTTGAGATGTTTGATAAAGTTCCTTATATGAACAACAGTGCTTCGTTCAATGTAGATCCTTATCTTCTGTTACCTAAAAATCTAAACCATTACTTTACGTATCCTGGATCACTAACAATGCCTCCTCTTACTGAAAATGTCTCCTGGACGGTTCTTCCAGAGATTGTACGTATTTCTCTTAATCAACTTGAAAGAATGAGCAAAAATAATCCTCGAGAAGAATGGGAACAACATAACTGTTATAAGTTTCAACGTCAATCTGATTCCTCAACGATTACAAATAACTTTCGATATACACAACCAATAAATGATCGAGTAGTAAGATCTCCGTTGCCATGAATTTAAATTTGAGTTTATATGGATTTGGCTAATAAATAATTGTGTTTCAGATTTATATCTAATACCTTTATATTATTCAATTAATTTAAGTGTGTATCATTTATTTTATTCTTATATATTAATTTGCGAGATATTAGAAGCAAAAATATTCGTTTTTTTATTTTTGGTTAAATTTTTAGTTATCTAAATTTGTGTTATTTTCCAGGCACAGTAATGTTTCCTAAGTCACAAATACTGTGATATTTGACAGGAATTTTTTATTTTTAAATTATGCTTTAAATAAGTGTATGGCTCAAATTCCTTTTAAAAAAAAAATTTAGTTGTTTTTAAACTTCATTAAATAAAGCAGTTTAAGTCTATAAAATAAAAGATTTTTTATTAGGCGTGGCCGGCTTTAAATTGAGTTTGTTCAAAATTACACTTTTAAAATTAGGTTTTTTAAAAGAAAGATATTTTTAAAACAATCAAAAAGGTGTGGTTTTGAAGGATTAAACGATTAACTAAGAATAATAACTTTAACCAATTGTTTTTTATTACCTAAAGTAAACGGGTCAAGGGTGGGTTTTAAAAGTTTAAAAAAAGTATTTTAAAAACTTTAAAAAACATTTTGGTTTAAATCATGAAAATTGTGTTAAAAGTGCATGAAAAAGGAGCAAAGGCTTTTTATAAAAAGTTACAGCAAATTAAACAAAAAAAAAAAAAAAAAAAATCAGGCTAATCAAGCTAAAACTTTGTTGTACATTTTTTATTTATTTGCAAAGTAATATTTTAACTATTTTTAGCATTTGATTAATTTTAGATTAAAATACAGTGAAACCCCGAACTTCCAGTAATTTGAATTACTGTTGAGTAACTCGAACTTCCAGTAATTTGAATTACTGTTGAGTTTCCCTTGAACCCTCACTAATACATTCACATAAAAACATCTCGATAATTTGAACACCCGTTAGCTCAAACATTAGCAAGTCGAACCATTTTTTCTGTTCCCATAGCTAATATTTTTCCGAAAATATGTATGTATGTATGTATGTATGTATGTATGTATGTATGTATGTATGTATGTATGTATGTATGTATGTATGTATGTATGTATGTATGTATGTATGTGTGTCTGTATGCATGCATGTATGTATGTATGTATGTATGTATGTATGTATGTATGTATGTATGTATGTATGTATGTATGTATGTATGTATGTATGTATGTATGTATGTATGTATGTATGTATGTATGTATGTATGTATGTATGTATGTATGTATGTATGTATGTATGTAAGTATGTAAGTATGTAAGTATGTAAGTATGTAAGTATGTAAGTATGTAAGTATGTAAGTATGAATGTATGTATGAATGTAAGTATGATAAAAATTAGTTTCTGAAAATATAAACTTTTTATAAATAGTTCAAGATGAATCTTTTGTCATTGTATCACTTTAGAAATTATGCATATTTTGTTTTTCGCAAAGTTACTGATGCATTTTGGTACTTTTAATGCCTTTTAGTATTTATCAAATTTTTTTTTTTTTATAAAACTGAAGCCCAAGAATGCAATGTATTTTATCAGAAAAAAAATTTGAAAAAAAAAATTTTTTAGCTGAGATATAAGGCTTTAAGCATAACTGTGTCTTTATGCCCCATTGTCCCGATCTGCTCCGCTCTACCCTAGATCTACACCTGAATATGGTGTACATACTTTTGCATAGTCCTGAAATAGATTATGGCTTCTGGAATACATTTAGCAGCATCATAACTACAAAAGTTAAGTGTGCGGCAGTCACAAGGAGAAAACATAGCAGTAGGACACTGTTCTTTTATTATGGCTTGTGTGGAATAGCATTACTTTATAATGCTTTTGTTATCATTTGAACAATATCAAAACAATTTTGTCATTATCAATCTACAAAAAAACCGTTCTACAATTTCATATCGAATTCAAGGCAAACTAGGTAACATAAAATAGTTTTTTTTTTAATTTTTTTTTTTGTATTTGCTGTCTTTCGCCCTTTTTTTTTGTGACTCTATGTCTGTTTTAGAATATTTTCCTTTAGAATAGGGTCCCAGTTAGAAAGCAACTCTATCAGACCTAAAAAGTTTCCACCATCTGAGTCACCAATGCGTTGTGAAGATCCCTGATAGCATCAATAATTCTTCTCAAAAGTAGGTACCATTGTTCCGATTCCTCTCTTATTGATGATTCAGCAAAATTATCAATACCGTCTTGCATTGAAAGTTTTTGTTCTAATTTACGTCGTGCTTGAAAGCATTCTCTATGCCCTTTACTATTTTTATGATCTAAAATCCTGTTACATACTCTCCGCCATTTGGAACTCGCTGGCCAGCCTTCAGATTTAGTTAATGCTAATCTGGAAGCTATTCTTAGATTGGAATAGACACTGTTCCAATATAACCGGCAAGGAAAACATTATGAAGAAGCCTTAGGTTCGCTCCATACAAACCAGTCTCGGGTAAGCTGTTCTACATTAATGTTTTTGAAATTTATGACTGTTATCATCTTTTGGCAATTTTAAAGGAAAGTTAATATGACCTCTGATAACAAAATTATTTATTTCTGGTTGAGGAGGAAATTCAGCTGTGCTAAATCTAATGTCAAGTTTTGTACTTGATTGGTGAATTAAATCACTTCTTAATTTAGAATTTTCTGTAGCGTTAGATCCAGGTTCTGAATGAATATCTATGTCAATCATATTTTTAAAAGGCTCTAAGTTTTTTTGTTTTAATACTAATTGCTATTTCATTTTTGCAATGGCTATTTTGTTTATGAATGTCATTTTAATTTTTCTCTTTTTTTAAATTTACATCAGGCTTTGTTTCTAATTCATATTCAGAATTTTTATCTAATTCAATCTTTGTTTTTTTACACCTAATTGAGAGTCTGTATTCCTTTTCTTTCATTGTATATGCGTTTATTTTTTTCTTTTCTTTTTAGTGCTCCTGATTTATGCATTTGGATTATGGAGTTAATAAATCTAAAAAAAATATGAAAAATTATTTTTCTATAATAAATAAAAAAAAGAATACTTTTTTTAATTTGCATCAACCACCACAGGATTAAAAAGATGGAAGTCAACTAAAGTAAGAAATGGTTGAAAAAAATAACCCAATCCAAAAAGATTGAAAATGAAATAATTTAAAATTGCGTATTAAGTCGATAAATCATTGTTAATAACATTATTTAAAATCTAAGATATTAAATAAATATATAAACTAAAGAAAACAAGTAAAAATTTATATTTATTTCATTCATTTTACATTCCCATATTTTATGAAATTCTTTTTTAAATTTAATACGATTTAACATTGCTTTAGCGTGTTAGCATTACTTAAGCAGACTAACCAAAGACAAATAATAACTGCGGAGTAATGTCTTTCTATTTATTAGTAACTTACAACTACATCACATTTATAAAACCGAAAAATTCAGAAGTAAAAAAAATTCATAATTTCCAACCTTTAGGGATAGGATATGTAATATACCTAAAGCTAGGATATGTGATGCACTCTTAGCATTATTTCGTCCTATTTTTTTAGTATGTACATTTGCTACATAAAAACGTAACTTTGTATAATATTCATACACTATACACCATAAAATAATGTTCCTAACGTACATCTGCCCAGTAAGCGTTTTCTACTAGTGGCAACATTGTCATTTCAACTTGTTTTCGACTTTAAAAAGTAGGTTATCTGTACATTTATAAGCGTTAAAATTGTATTTTGGTGTCAATCGTAAAGTACCTTGATAACTAAATAAATTGTTTTATATATCTATGGAATCATTCTTTCCAGTTTTTTTTTTTTTTTCGTAACTAAAGTATTGTTTCATCCACAACTATTAGGTTTATAATGTTTTTATATACAGTTTGTAAAAATGGTTTTATAAAAAAGAGAGAAAAATGAGTTAAAAAGAAAATTTAGGTAAGGTTTTTTTATAAAACCAAAATAGTTATTTTTTAGAGGACGTCTTATCTCAGAGAACAATATCTTAATAAAATATATTACAAGCTTATTACAAGCTCGTTCAAAGTAAGTTTACTAAATTTATTAGTAGTCACTCATATACATTGCATCATTTAAAAGTTTTAGATTTTAAATTATTTAAAATCTAAAACTTTTAAATTATGCAATGTATATGAGTGACTACTAATCATTTAAAAGTTTTAGATTTTATAAAAGTTTTACTAAAATCATGTCAGTAAGATTAAATTTATTTCAAATCAATTCTATAAAATAATATCTATCAGATCGGTATTATTGATTCATTTAACTTGTTGCTGATATTTAACTTGTTGCTGATGGTCAAAGGCGCCGCAATTTTATATTGGCGCTGCCTAATGTTTTTATTAACTTAATTCGATTTATAATAAAGTTTTACGGCAAGTTACAAAAATTTTAAGATGTTATTAAATTCTTTAAAAATTTAAAAAAAAAAAGAAACATTCTTGTTGTTTTGAATCATATTTAATATGTTGAACCATACTCAATTATGTTTTTGTTTTTATTCCATATTCTTTAAGTATTATTATACTTTTATTTTTCGTATACTTTTTTTTCCATATACTTTTAGTTAAATACTTTCTTGTTGTGTTCAATAATACGACTTTAGTCATATTATTCAAAACAACAGGAAATCAGGTGGGTTTTTTTTACTAGAAAATTTAAAAAATCTACTGCAAAAACAACTTTAACTAAATACCTCTTAAAATGAGCAGTATATTGAGATAAAACCAAACGAAAGTCAATTTGTTTTGCGTCAACAATGTTCATCTCAATACTCTTAAGAAGTGTTTACTCAAAGTTATTTTTATATTGTAGGCTTTTTAATCTTTCTAGTAGATTGACACGAGATTACACACTACTTGATTTTACGTTGTCAAAACGACATAGTAAATATATCGTTTTGACGTAACGTAAAGCATAGGATTTCTCAAAAATGCCCCCAGAAAAAAAAGATTGCATTACCTCAAATAAATTCATAGTTTTTTAATACATTTTAGGGTTGTGTGCTTGCCCACGCAATCTTACCATAATTAATATAGCTATGAGTTAGGCTAAAGTATATTAATTTAAAACTTTAAGTATTAATTAAAAGACTAACTCTATACATTATACCAATAGTTTTTTTAATTTTTGATTGAATGTATTTTATGTGGGAAAGCCAAGTTTTCATCTACATAGACTTCTAGGTACTTTAAACGTTCTTATTTTTTAATTTGCATATTTTTTTAGAAAGAAATGGTAATTTAAGTGGCAGGTTTTCTTCGTGCGTATTTTTATAAAATAATGTATATTGAGTTTTGTCTACGTTTATTGAGAGTTTATTAGCATTGAACCATTTATTAACTTTTAACAGCTCAATATTCATTTCACCATATAGCTGATTAATATCACTATTGGATATAAACAACTTAGTATGATCAGCATACATAATTGAATTTAAATTTGCAGATACATTACTGAAATCGTTTACATATATTAAAAAAAGAAGAGAACCGAGTATTGAACCTTGTGATACTCCACACAGAATGTTTAATGTACCAGAATCTGGATTTATCACATATTGTTTTCGGTCAGTAAAGTAGCTTTTTATCCAAGAAAATGTTTTGTTTGTTACACTATAATAATTTATTTTTTCTAAGAGTATAGAGTGGTCTACTGTGTCAAATGCTTTTGATAGGTCTATAAAAATTCCTAGTGTAAACTTATTTTTTTCAAAACCGTTAGTTATTTGGTCAACTAATTCAATAATGGCATGCTCCGTTGAAATATCATTTTAAAACCCAAATTGTTTAGAGTAAAAGAATTTGTTTTTTGTGAAATGGACATAAATTCTGTTATATATAACGCGTTCGAATATTTAGGAAAAAACAGATAATACGGATATAGGTCTATAATTTGAGATTTCAGAACTATCATTGCCTTTATAGATTGGGTACACTTTAGCTATTTTTAATGTATCAGGAAATACACCTTCATTTATCGAAATTTTCATAATACGAAACAGAGGTTTGATGATATATTTTTTATTTAAAATTACTATATTGCTGGATATTATATTGATACTATATTGCTATACTATATTGGATACTATTTGGATACTATTTGGATACTATTGCTATACTATATTGGATACTATATTGGATACTATGCTGGACATCAAAACCCAGCGATTTGTTCATTTTTAAAGATGAGAAAGTCTCCTCAATTTCTTTTAACGTTAATTTACTGCCACACAATAAATTATTATTGGCAGAATTTTAATAGGTTTTGAATGAATCAATGGTAGGTACAATTTTGTTAAATTTGCTGGTGGCTATACAATCTACTCACTCTTTTTAACCAAACCACTAGAAGAAAATGACTTAATTGATTTTTAAATTTAAGGTAATACTGTGAAATATTCAAATATTGTTACAGAACACAGCAATGCAAAAATGAAATCATTTTAAAAAAAAGTCTATTGATTTTTCTATTCAAGACAATATTGATTTAAATATTGATACAGAAACAAATCTTGAAGAAGTAGAAGTAACTGAATCAACATTTTTTATTCGAATGATGAAAAAATAGTTTTTAGCAAAACATTAACAGACCTTTCATTACCATTTACTAATTCATCTTTTCCATTAGAAAAAGCTTTAGATGTTCTTGCATATCCTTCTCCACAAATTAAACTTAAAAAAAAAAACTCTAGTTAAAGTTTTTTCTTCTGACCTCAGAGGAGGCTTATAATGCAAAACTTGAGGATAGTGCTGCAAAGGTAGCAAGTGAAAAGAGAAAAATTGAAAAACAAAAAATTGGGGGGTGGGGGGTATTTCAAAAACGTACGTACTTTTTAAGGTGGAGGGGGCGGAGGACTTAGAAGTCCACATGGCAACAGGGGGAGGAGGGGGGTCAAATTCCAAAATTTTTGGCGTACGTACTTTTATGGATGACCCCTTATGTTTTATTGAACAAAGGGAAAGCAAGTGGTTTAACATGCTTTATTGAAAACATTTTTAATGTGGCTTTGACGTATAAACTTTTTATTAAAATTACTACATTAAATAGTATAAGTACCAATATAAATTCTGCTATTTCGTTTAGATGTCAAGATGTTGGCAATACAGTTAGTACTTTTTTATACAAAAACCAACAAATTAATCCACGTTGCATGCCTACGTAATGTTTCAAATTTCCTCGGAGTATGTGTTGACAAAAATCTTTCTTGGAAAAATCACATTCATATGAAATCAAATTCATATGAAAAATCACATTCATTTGAAATCAAAAGAAATCACAATCATTTAGCATAATGCTAAACACATAGAAATTTTGATAAAGCAAGAAGTATATTACGTAATTAGAAGTATATTACGTAAAAGAAGTATATTAAGTGAATAAATACTGATTCATTTTCAACAAGGCTGCAAGTAACCACTATTAAGTTGGGAGTAACTAAAAAAAATAAAATAGAGTTACGGAGCAAGGAATTGGTTGACAGAAGGCTTAAAAAGTTGAAGGTTGTATGAGTCTGGAAAACATGAAGTAGGGAAAGAGTTTCCAAGGGTTAAAGTAGGGGGAAAAAAAGACAAATAAAAGTTTTTAGAGCATGAAAGGACAAATACAGTAACCGAATGAGGCTTTGCTGAAGACGAATTGAGCGAGAATGAATTTTAGTTGATGGAACTAGAGATGATAGCTCATTTGAGCAGTGACCATGATAGTATTTGTAGAAAAGAGAACGAGATGCAACCTTACGATGGTAAAGAAGTTCAAGCTTAGCAGATAGAGCGGGTCCAACTTAGCAGATACTTAGCAGAACTTAGCAGCGGATCTCAAGCTTAGCAGATAGATTGATAGGACCAAAGAAGCTACAAAGCGGGTCTATTGTAAACGTAGTTTACATTGTAAACGTAGTTTACATTGTAAACTACGTTTACAATGTGTTTTGGACCTTGTCTAGAAGAAAGAGCAGCCGTGGCGCAGTGGTAGCGCACTTGCCTCAGAAACAAAGGATCCGTGGTTCAAACCCTATCTCTGGCGATAACGGCTAGGAAGGAATCGTGAACTTCCAATTAAATACTTATCCACGGCGCTCTGTGATAAGACCTTAAGGGCTTCTTGGAGCACCTAAATAAAAATTAAAAAAAAAAAGAGCATCATTAGAAGAACCAGGCCCAAATATTAAAATAGTATTCCATTCCGGGACAAATCAGAGATTTTTTATAGAGGTAGAGAATGGAATCAGGAGAAAGAAAATGGCAAGCACAATAATAAGAAGCAACCTAAGCAGATGCTAGTTTAACAATTGTTTTGTTTTACAATTTTTCATAGTTTTTCAAAATTTTAGCATAAAAGTCCATAATTACTTCACTACAGACATTGTATTTTTATCAAAAGTTGACCATATATTGTAATAGTTATGATAAGATCCTCATGATATTCTATCAGTTCTTCCGAGGCTTATGTAAAAAATTGTAAAATATATCTTATAATTGTAATTACTTTCAAATGGAAAAATTTATATAAAAAAATTAAAAAAATGTAATACCATTCTTAATAATAAATGTAATTTTTGTTCCTATAATACTTAATCCAGTAATATTCTAACCGTAAATATATGTAACTATAACAACGATAACCCTATGTATTATTTCTCAAAAATGCAAAGAATGATAGAATCAGATAAACGTTTTTTTTAAATTGTTTATCAATATGTTGAATAGTAAGCTATTAAAAAATTATTTGGATTTACTGTCTATTTTAAGTAATAATATACTAATGTCAATTCTTTTAATATTTTTTATTTATCAATATTAGGCATAAATATTTAATTCGGCTGTAAAATGTTCAGCTGATTACAAAGTCTTGAATGCAAATTAATACAGCTTTCAAACTCAACATTCAGTTAAACATATCATCTTAGTTGTTGTAAACAGCATTTGCACATCTTTTGAAACTGAAAAATTTCTAATAGAAGTCTTCATTAAACTTTCAAAGATGTTTGATAGAATCAGTTTATTAATGCTTTATTTCATTAGTATTGTATTGTCTACTGTATCAATTGATACTGTAGAAAACTAAAAATTACTAAAAATCATTTTAAAAAATCAATAACTATTTAGATAATAATCGAAAATGTTTGTGTAACTCAAAAGGTTAGGAAGTTAGGTTCAGGATACTTTTGGAAAATCTTTTTTTTTTAAGAATTTTCTTTTTCCGGAAGTCTAAAAATCCTAGCATATGCGAACAATGAAAAACTGTACTTTAATTTTTTTTTTTTTTTTTTTTTTTTTTTTTTTTTTAAGTTGATTAAGGTGCCCCAAGAAGTCCTTACGGTCTTATCACAGAGCACCGCGGAAAAGCATTTAATAGGAAGTTCACGCCTCCTTCCCAACCGATGTCGCAAAACTTGCCCAGAGGTGGGGTTCGAACCTGGGATCTTACGTTTCTGAGACAAGTGCGCTACCACTGCGCCATTATTACCTGGCAGCTTTTTTTTTTTACTTTTTTTATTTACAAGCCTCAGTACATATTAATCAATGCTTACAAAATTCTTGTTTATATATATATGACAGTAATAACCGATAGATTTTCTTGTGCGTTAAATAAATGTGGAGAGGTTAAGGTTACCTCTCTTAGCATTTCTAAAGCTTTTGATAAAATTTGACATGCTGGTCTTCTCCATAAGTTTTCTTCTTACGGTGTATTAGGTAACATCTTTAGGATTATTTAATCCTTCCATAACAATTGTAGTATAAAAGTTGTCCTTAATGGACAGCACTCT